CCCCCCCAAACCACCAACAGCACTGAAAAAATCAATCTCATTACCTGCCCAAACACAAAGCAGTACAGTGTGATCCCCATGGCCCAGACATCCAAAGCCTGCAGAGTAAAGAAAGCATAGTTAGATCTGCAACAGACAGCGTGTGCAAGGAAGATTAGTCCAAAAACCCTCAAATCGCCACTAAATACCTTTCCGGAGAAGATTTTCCTGGTTTCCGAGAGCGTCTCCGGGGCCATGAAGGCGGGGGTGCCCACCGTGTTGGTTAAGAGGGCATCGGCTCCCTTGAACTCGTTGCTCACCCCAAAGTCAGCGATCTTGACGTGCCCGTCTTCCCCCACGAGGAGGTTGGAAGGCTTAATATCCCGGTGGATTATCTTTTGATAGTGCACTGTAGCCGAAGGAAAAACAAGTGATTCAGCAGCAGGACTGGTCTGCAGCAAAGGAGCCACGAAGCCCCCGCATGGCTGTAAGCCTTTCTGCTAACACCATGACCAGCTCCAGCTTCAAAAACCCCTGTGCAGTAGCATGAGCCACCAGAAACGGCACCGTACACCAGCAGAAAGTCCAGCCCCAGGTGTTTAGAAAAAAATACGAATAAGAAATCCCATCCTTTTTGCACAGACACTCACAGTATTCAATGCCCTTGATCAGATCCTGGAAGTAGAACCGAGCCTGGTCCTCGCTGAGAGGTTTCAGGGTTGGGATTTCCATCACGGGGCTGCAAAGGCAACAGAGAACGGAGCTCGTTCCCTATCCGGATGCACTGAAACAGGCCCCGGAGGCTTTGCCGCCGGCCAGTGGCAGCACGTGGCCCCAGATGCAGGCACACAGGGGGTGTACACAACTGTAGCTGGGCTGGGGAGATGCTACCCAAATTCGTAGGGGACCCACCATGAACCTCCCCATCGCCTCTGCGTCCCGTGCCCGCCTCAGGTAGCCGAGCTGTGCCACCCACAAACCCGTCTCACGTTCGTGCTTTAGTAGGTTTAAATCTGGAATTCAATACTCACCCTTGCTTCACCAGTTCAAACACTGAAACACAAAAAAGAAGGTGATTACGGATCACTTACAGGTTAGAGCTCCTGTGAGCACAGTCTCAGCGCAAAAGCAATTATTTTAATGACAAAAATTCTAAAAATTATGTATTTTTTAAAAAAAGGAGATGCCATCTTATGCAAGGCACATGGCATTGTGGTTGCTTCCATTTTCAGTTAAGGGGATGCTGCCAACTACCTTCTCAGTGCTGCAGCTTCAGCATCATGAAGTGCCCTCCACGCGGCACACTAAAACCCTCGGTTTGCCTGCAAAACCAAGGCCGAGCCCACGCCCCAGGCAAACCTCTGCGCTTGGCCATGAAGGCATCGCACACTCCTCCGCTAGTACAGGCTGAACATAAATGATGGAAAAGAAATGCCTCCTCCAAAAGCGTGTGTATTTACATCAGGCAAACCACTGCAGTCTGCAAGACAGGGTGGGAAGGAGCTCGTTTGTACCGTGGGTAATTAACACATGCCTTGTTCTCGAAGCCAAAGAAGCAAAGCTACTTTCTAGCAGCCCAGCTTCAGAGCTGAGAACATAAATGCTGGTACCTCTCATGGCAAAGCATGCCCTGATGTCAAATTAAAGCCTATAAAGTGCTGTAAAGCACTTCTGTCTCCTTTCTGAACCCAGACTGGATCCTGTTTGCTCTGACCATTAGAGGGGATTTGCTTCTCCAGCACATCCAGGCCATACCCGCTCCAGAGGAGAGACCCAACCCCGCACACAGCTGCCCCAAAACGCAGGGGGAACCCTTTGCCCTGGCAAACCCCAATCCCTCTGACACCCTGCGAGCGCCACAGGGCAGTGGGCAGTTACCCATGTACAGGTGGTCCTCGCTGGGGTCATCCAGGACCTGCCAAAAGAAGCAGAAAGGAAATTAAACAGCACCAAAAAACCTTGCAAATTAAACACTGTGATTTTTTATTTAGCGGCCATCTCAATCCTGCACCATCTGCACCATTAGCATGGTCTGCTAATCTCTGAGCTTCTACCCACAAGGGATGGGGGAAAAAAAAGAGGACAGAGATATAGCTGTATTTCAAGGAAGTAAATATTTAAAACACACAGGAAGCATCATTTGACTCATGAGCCAAATAAACTCCAGCCTGCACATCCTTAATTCTTGATTTTTGGACCATTTCATACAGTCAGTGGGCGGAGGGCAGGGTGGCTGCATCACAGAACCTGCAGAAACACCAGTTCCTCCCCAAAACCCATCTGAGCACTTGTTTCCTCCAAGGAAGCAACATTTTTCTGCATTTTTCTTTCTGGGCAGGGAAGAAAAAAAATCCTCTTTTGGGAGGTGGGAATAAAAATCCTTTTAAACCAGGGAAAACACGAGTCTCCTGCAAGCAGGACCTGCCATCCCAGCCCTTCTGCGGTCGCTCCCCTCTGCCCAAGCCAACGTGTAGCCCATCCCCGCAGCATCCAGGCTCCTTCACGCTCGGGGTGGGTTTCGGGAAGGGGCTGGCCAGCACTCACCTCCACCAGCTTCACCACGTTGGGGTGGTCCAGCTTCTTCAGGATGGCGATCTCCTGGTAGACCTGTTCGATGGGCCCTTTGGGCGGCAGGCAGCCCTCAGAGGCAGCTTTGGCTCCACGGGGTGGTGGGCGGCCTGCGGGAAAGGCAAAGACGGGGTGTCTGGTTGGGAACGAGCCCCCGGGGTCCCCAGATCATCTCCCACCCTAAAGCTTTTGCACCACTTACGGGGGAAGCCCGCCTGTCTCATCAGCTTCTTTTTGGAGAGAACCTTCATTGCCTGCAAGAGGGGAAAAAACAAGTGGGATTTGGGGCAAACCAAGGATAAAATGAGCCTGGTGGGATGGGGCCAGCACGGAGCCGGGCAGGGAGTCAGTGGAGGGGATCCGTCCCCCATCCCAAATGCCCCGCTGCGGGCTCTGGGGACGTGCGCTACTCACATAGTAGGTGTTATCGTCCTCGTTGTAGGCCAGCTTCACCACCCCATAGGAGCCCTAGAGAGGGGCACAGCCATGGGCACCAGTTAGGGACAGTCCAAAAAAACCCCACAGCACCAAACTGGACTCCGGGCTCCTCCGCAAGCCGGGCCCCACTGGGATCACGGAGCTGGTGGGCGATGCCGGGTGTAGTGGGACGCGTGGGCTGGCATCACACCTCCGGCAAAGAAAAGCTCCAAATGCCCCATTTTGTGGGAGGGAGGGGGAATGGGGAAAATTAATAATAATTTTTTAAAAATATACAATTCAGTCGGTATCACTCAGAAGAGACCGGCGTCGCAGTGAGGAGCCGGCTGAGTTGCCGTGGTGAGCGGCTGAAATTGCCATCTCACCGGCTGGAAAGCAAAAGTGAGCCCAGCACCCTCCCGCCCCGAATCCCTCCATCCCACCCCAAACCCGGCCAATAGTCACCTTCCCGATCTCGTCCTTCAGCTTGTACTGGTTGAGCTGCACACAGTCCTGCGGGAAGAGAGGGGGGGGTCTGACACGAGCCACAAAACTGCTCGCATTTGCTCTCCTCCTTTTAAATCTCCAGCAAAACTTTCTCTGCAAACTGACGCCCTGTTCTGCTCTGCCCGGGCACCCGCTCGGGGCTGGGCAGCTTTGATTCATGAGCCATAAACGCCAGCTGCCTGGCCACGTGTCGGTGTGTTTATAGACGGCTAATTGCAAACATTAACGGCCGGGGAGGCAATATTGTCCGCTCACGTGGAACGAGAGCGCACAACAGGCGGGCGGCAGTGGGGATCAGCAGCCAGGAGAGCCCCGGGGGGATTTAATGCAGGCGACCTGGCGCTGAGTATTTTTATTTCTTAAGGGCAAAGCAGCCTCTTGCTGCCTGTTTTCTGTCAGTGCTGGCAGGCTGGGGGCAGGCAGGGCCATTTTCTCTTTAGATCTCAGTGGGTCTCTCTTTTTTTTTTTTATTTTTAAGGGAGAGAAGAAGAAAATTGCAGCATGCCGACGGTTCCCCTGAAATCAGCCGTGAGAGCTGGCGGCATCTACAAAAGGCACGAAACGCAGTGAGCCGCTGGGTCCCACCTCCCCGAGAGCTGTCCCACAGCCCAGGGTGGACCAGGACGTCCCACCGCCTCCCACCCCACATCTGCGGACATGCCACAGGGTTTTATCTTGAGAAACCAAGTAGGAAGAAATGCCACAGGGCGGGGGAAAACCCAGGAGAACAGGGGCAGGAGAACCGCAGGAGCAGCATTTGTCCCCCCTCACCTGCAGTCCAGTGATGGACACGCGGTTCGACTCCACCGTTGGCCGCCGCGGCAGCCGTGGGGAGGAGTGCGGGGACGTCACCGGAGAGTAAGGGAGGGACGGGTAGATGAAGCGTTCGTTGGTGCCATTGCCGCTCCCAGGCGAGCGGGCAGGCTGCGACCGCTCCTGCAAGGACAGCTTTCGGCCGGAGAGGTGCAGCTTCGCCCTCGGCTCCCGGCCGTCCCCAAAACCCTCGCCTCCGGGCGCGTTCATCTCCTCCTCCTCGCTTGCGCTCCCCGTCACGTCGTACTCGGTCACCACGATGAGCGAGGCCATGCCGGGGCGGCGGGGGCTCAGCGGCAGGGGGTCCCCCGGCCCCCCAGGCACTCGGGCGCCGC